CCCCAAAACCCCAAAACCCCATGCTTATTTTTATTTAGTGTTAATTCACTAAGAGTTGTTAATAATTAAATTTTAGTATAACATCATCATTATAATTGAAAGAAATGAATTCAAGAGGATTTTTAGAAGTTGACATCCAGAATCGGTTATACAACAACCAATAGATAGAGAGCGTAAATAATCAAACAGCATATTTCTAGCATCTTGCTAATCAAGAAAAATAGAGAATATCTTAGCTTATCAATGATAACATAGGCTTTTAGAGAATTTCGATGCAATTACATATTGATGAACATGATTAAGACTTTAATAGACAAATATTTAAAGGACCAGATTGAAATATCTAAGTGCGTGAGAAAAGCAGCAATAAATCAGTTATTATACCTCAAAATTTCGGAAGCTCATTGTCATTAATGAGTCGAGAGATAAACAGTAGTGCAAATATAGATGCAAATTTGATGATAGATAGCAGGGTAAATAGTGGGGAGGATGGGCGAATAGGGAATTATAATATGATGAATATTTCAAAGATTGAAAGCTAAATGAATTTACTTAATATGACAACCAACACTTACTTACCAAATATTCCTATTAATTTTGAAAGAAATGGATATTAGAATCTAGCTAAATCTTAGTAAATAAGTCCTGTAAATGGACTTAAAAAGAGATTGTTGTAAATAAATGAACTATAAGCCAATACCAGTAACCTAATGCTTTAGACAGGTAAAATATCAAGAAGCAATAGAAGTACGACAAGATTTCAAATAGAAGAAATAAGACCTGAAAGTATCGCCAAGAATCACTTATTATAAAAGAAATAATATGCAGAATTTTTAAACAGAATGGGGAAAGACCAAAAGATGAGCAATGAGGAGGCTTTTAGAATACTTGGAATTCCAGATTTAAGATAGTAATTTGAATAGGAATAAAAAAATGATGCAGAAGATTCTGATTTAGAACAGTTTTGGTAACCAATACCGAAGATGAGAGAAACCTAAGTAAAATTCGCTAATTGGGCCAAAGATCAATCTGAGAATCCCAGATAGTTTCTAGAAGAAACAGCAAAAGAGCTTTACGCTGATTTTGAATTCACTTAGAAAAATACAAAGATGTTTTCAGATCCGAATATTCCAATTCATATAAATTCAACCCCAGTAATCAAATGCTATGATGCTCTAAATGAGTTATAAGAAAAAGGAAAATTATTTTTCAAACTACCATTAAAAGATATCTTAGAATAGGATAAGAAGCACTTTGAGAAGATAATGAACAAACTTAAAAGGTCTCATTAAATAGAGTAAAGAAACTTGAAGACTCAATTGAAAAATAACTATCTGAAGTTAATTAATGATAAATTGCATAAAATTTAAGACTCATTAGCTTTTGAATTCGGGGAGATACTAATGCAGGTAGAGAAAAAAGATCTCTTAATATAATAACTGTAGGATTAGATTAGTCATTATTAGATAATGCTAACTAATTAAGAGCAGCATCTCTCAGAAGTCGTGAGACATTAAACTCTAATTGAAATTGAGCATTTATCACAAAAGCTTGAAGAGTAAGGAAGGAAAATTGAGAGAAATCACACATTATATCAAGCAAGATTAGACTATGATACAAAGGCAACAATGACTTAAAAAGCTAATTACTTGACAAAAAAAGATCCACTTCTAAATAAACAATTTAAAATGTACAATTCATATATCTGGTTAGAATTAAAGGAAAAGGAAAAAATTGCAGCAATGTAAATTCTAGAGGAATTTGCTGATTTGTTAAATGAGAAAGAGTACTTTTGTAAGGTTAAAGAACTTGACTTGGGAAATTATCAGTACATATTAGAGGATTATTAAAAGCAAGAGATTATTAAGGATGCAAAGATTGAAGAATTGAAAGAGTAGATAGAGCATCTTTAGAAAGATCTTAGTTTTGAGAAAAAATCTCATTAATCCAAAATAGATAATATCGTCAATCACTATAAAAGCATTATCAACGACTTAAACAGTAACTACATAGATCTACGTGAGTTTGTGAAACTTGAAATAGAGGCAAGGGAAATGATATAAGAAAAGTTAACAATAATCAATTTGGATTTTAAAACAGAAATTAGAAAGTTAAGATTGATACTTAAAACACCCAGATTGTACCAATAATACTTAAAGGATATGGGAATAAATGCTAATCCATTTGTGACTCAGATGCCTGTTGTCTAGCAACTAGATAATTAAAAGAAACCAAAATCCAGACCTCCAAAGAGATTAAGCCAAAAGTTGAATAAAATCAGTTTAGGAATGATGAAAATGCGTTTTTTAAGCAAAGATAAAACAGGATCGTTAGACATGCTCAGTCCTCCCTAGAGTGGCAGAATATAGTACTCTTCCCAATCTTAATTTTTATGAGTTAATACAGAACTCATAAAGTTATTAATTTAGATGATTTCTTAATTTAATTAATCCACTCTCAATTTGTTTCAGTGCATTTTAGTGGGGTTTTGGGGTTTTGGGGTTTTGGGG